ACCCGCAATACTCGCACCGCCCAATGCAGCTAGGAATTTGTACTGCACGCTAAAATTTAGTACTCAATTAGTACTTTCACCCTGGCACATATTTAAAATTAGTACTGACAGTCCCAGTGTGTACATTAAGGTTGGAAGGCCATCGAGGATTTGATCCTAGAATATTTCTCTTGTACATAGGCGGGCCTATGTTCACTGTTTTAAAGAAAGTGATTAATTTGCACGTCAATTGATTATTAAAGTTGAGGTGTGAATTTTTTAGGCACATTCTGGTGTCTAAGTATATGGTTCCTATTGGTAGCAATAGACCTGTGCGTGTCCAAGTGTTCAGAACGTTAACAAACGTCTAAAATTTGTACACCACGGAAGTGTGCAACTTGAGTTAAACACCATGTAATGTGCAAGTGGGTGGTTCGGCCGTGACACTGCACCGCCCAATCGTCCAACAGCCCCCACAAACAGTGAATCCTGCTCAGGTCGATTAGTACTTTCCGAATATCAACATGCCGGAATTAGTACTCCACAGCAACTACCCATATGCGGTGGAAGTAAACCGAGGAGCCCCTGCATGCTTTAAGCTGCAAGACAAGTACACACTTGAGTTTTCAGAGCAGCTATGGTTGGTTATTTCCCTAACCGTATTAATTGAGGGGTAAATAGAAAATTCGACAACGTGGCGTTGTGCTCCACGGTCACGTTCATCCAACCACGCGTCACATGTAACCGTGTGATCACAGGTGTGACAAAGTGTCCTTCAAAGTTCTTTCCAAGAATTTCGCAGTGCACCGAGGATTGAAGCACTACATTTGTTCCTGCACACCAGTATTGCACTCACGTGAGTACGCATGAGTGTACTTGGTCTTCCCCCGCTCCATACCCATTCCTGCCCTACTCCTACGCCGCTATTCGAGAGATGGCGTCGATTCGATCGTGTTTTTGCACCCTAAAAAAAATTAGTGATTTTACATAAAAAGCATGTAAAACTTTACAACACTTTTATGTAAAATTACAAGCACTGGCATTTTTACGACATGTTTTGTTGTAAATTTACAACCAATGTAATTTTACAGAAGTCTTATGGTAAATGTAACTAATTCTTGTAATTTTACAGAAGTCTTATGGTATATTTAACATCATCATGTAATTTTCCCATTGAAGTGAGGTAAATTTACAAGACTTGGTAATATTTTTACTGAAACTTTGTAAAAATTTTCCAGGCCTTAGGTAATATTACAGAAAAACTGTAAATTTGCCCGGAATATATGTAATTTCACGGCGCAGAGGTAACTCGACAATTTTGTCTGTAATTTCATGGACGGCAAGGCAGGGATACAATGACACTGCCAGGAGTATACCGCTCGTAGTTTAACATGTACAACTTGTTTGGGTTGACGCGTCAGATCAGTAGCAAGGCAGCAGGGCGTGGGGTGAAATGAAAAAACCCAGGTGGGACATGAGGTCGGAAAATCCCTCATCGCCCCTGCAGTGGCACCACGGCCGCCGCCCGGCCCGCCGCACTTCTGACTCAGGGAGCGGCAAGAGGCTCTGGGGTGACTCGGGGTCACTGGCGGCGGGGCTCTCCACCCTTATAGATCTGTTGATCATTGTAATGGGACCGCGGCACAGAAATTCGGAGTTCAACTCCGACTACCAGTCAAGTAAAGTAAGTCGACATCGG